TGGAGAAAAATTGTTCTCCTTAACCTCTGAGGATAGGCCAAGAAGCAATGGGTTTAAATGCAGCAAGGATGGTTTATGTTGGACATTAGGCAAAACTTTCTAACTGTTAGGGTAGTTAAGCACTGGAATAAATTGCCTAGGGAGGTTGTGGAATCTCCATCATTGGAGATTTTTAAGAGCAGGCTAGACAAACACCTGTCAGGGAAGGTCTAGATAATACTTAATGCTGCTTTGAGTGCGGGGGACAGGACTAGATGACCTCTCGCAGTCCCTTCCAGTCCTACAATTCTATGATTAAAGATTTAAATTCACTCAGCTACTTGTGATGGGGGCCATATAAGTACCTAGGACAAATAATAGCTTGTAGATATTAAGGTTTCAACTTACTTCCCATGCCCTTTACATAAGAGCATAAGAAGGGCCATAGTGAGTCAGACCAACGGTCCATCTATCCCAGACCATCATTGTCTTCTGACAGTGGCCAATGCCAGATGCTTCAGAAGAACAGAACAGGGCAATCATCAAGTGATCCATCGTCCGTCATCCAGTCCCAGCTTCTGGCAATCAGAGGCTTTAGTCTTCCATTTGAAGAGTTGATCTGGCAGACAGAGTTATAACAAGATCCACTGGCTGGAAGTTGAAGCTAGACAAATTCAAACTGGAAATAAGGTGTACATTTCTGTCATTGAGGGTAGTTAACCATTTAAAAAATTTACCAAAAGTTGTGGTGGATTCTCCATCGTTGGCGCCTTTTAAATCAAGTTTGGGGATATATCAGGTATGCTCTAGTTCAAACTAGAATTATTTTGGGGACATCCTATAGTCTGTGTTATACAGGAGGCCAGTCTAGATGATCACAGTGGTTCCTTCTGGTCTTGGAATCTATGAATCTATCTTAATTCCCCAAAGTGTTGCATCTAACTCTCTCCTGCACACCTCTGGAGATGATCTCCCAATGACTTTCTTGAAGAAAATGGGCTAAAGTTCTTAATAAGGGTTAAGGCTTAAACTGCACTCAGGGTTAGGATTTCCTTGCTTGAAGTCTAACTTGAATTTTCTCTTTCAGAGTGTTAGACCCTGGTTTAGTTTTTCTTTGACCTCCGTCTACTTTTTTTGGTGTTATGTTTGGCCTCCTCGTTTTCCAACAATAGTCAGCAGTTTTTTCTCATGGGAGGTCTACACTAGTAATCTCTAGAATGGTCAATTCCTTTCTCTGCAATTATACCTGATTACTACACTTGTTTTATTGCCTCACTAGACAGGTCAGCATGGACAGGAATGACCCTTCCCAGCTACTTGTTCAAATGCTAAAACAGCTCAAAGCTGATGCTCAAGTTAAATAGCACATAATGACCTAGATCCAAGGAGCACACATGCAAGTTGGGGTGGGTACAAAAGTGGTATAATGCTTTGTGTTTTTTCTTCATCCTGAGCTGGCTGTGTGCTGGGCTGCCCCTCCAGTGTACTTTAGAGAAATCTTCACAATGCTTTAAGGTAGCTGCTAGTGGTTCCAATACACGATGAAATTCTGATCCTATTGAGGTCAATGG